AAACTGAACATTAAAACCCTTTAAATTTCTGAGCAGTATCAGTCAGTTGCATGGTCATCTCAAGTTAGGATTTAATAATTAATTATATGCTAATCAGCATTTCACGACGAATTAAACCAATATGTATAAATGTTAATCCACACCGGGTTTCAAATCATTATTTGAAACATTTATTGTAATAGTTAATATAAAACAAAATGGTTGTAAATCCAATATATTACTTCCACGTACCAAACTAAACAGTAAAAAGAAAGAACCAGAGTGCTTATTAAATATATTTCTTAGGAGAAGCCATATATATAAGTGTTATATATCTGTCAATATATATACGTAACCTTTATATATTGCCTCTGAATGGTTCGAACGACAAGAAATCTCATCACATGTGCTTAATACCACAAGAGGTAGCGCTTTGTCTATTCCTTTGTTGTATTCCTCCATGTTCTGTCACTGATTGCAACAAACACTTTGAGGAATGCCCTGCCAATCTTTGAGCCAGTCGCCAGTCAGTCCTGCCTATATGGAGGTTACGGCAGGTGAGGTTGAACTGTTAACTAACATAAGTTGTCCAACCGACTGACCAACTATTCAGACGGTAATTGAGCACAGGTCGCCGTGTGGTGTGGATGATTCGCATAAACGCGTTGTTATAGGTGTGCGGTAAAGCTGACCTAAGTTTATGACCAAATTTGTCTCGGAACACTAAATCTTTTGAAATGTAAAGATAGACAGACATACTATTTTGCAACTGTAGTAAAAGATAGCTTCTCTATTGTCGGTCAACATAGCGACTGCGTAACTTTCTAAGGATATCCGTTTCGCAAAGGATTGCTGTGTAGTAACTTCTATTAAAACTCTGAAGAAGCTTTGGACTGCAAATACGCCTGGCTCCGTATAAAAGAGCCCTGACGAGAGCGTGTATTTTTGGTGCCGGGACAAAGCTCTCTTTGCGCTGCAAGATATCAGTTAAACGCGTTCCGTTAAACTCTGAGAATGGTGTACTGTTACCTTTTTCAATCGCGGAATGTTAAAGCTATATTAAGCAACACTTGGGAGCTATCAAAACGCTATGTCTAGGAGTACATCTGTGTATGTGGGCTCCTGTATTGAGCGTCAGCTCATTTTACCTTTGATGCAAATATGGTCTTTAGATTGTATACCTGGCTATCTGTCGATTGCCGCTTCAAGCTTGAAGCAATTTTTCCCAACTTCTCCGTAATACCATAAGTAAAGTACTGCCATTTTGCATGGCCCACTAGCGAGAACGGCCAAAACAAATACTATGATGAACACATTAGAAAAATTGATACTATTCATTCTGCTCACTTTACAATAGAAAACTAGGTTTTCACTACAACTGAAGTTTTCTCTGCCGCCGAGAAATGTGAACTAGATTAGCAGGCATGTGGATTTTGTTTATCAGTATGGTCAACTTCCTCTAGTTATCACCAACATCAAATGATGATACTTGATGGTTTCGTGCAATGTTGGCGGACATAGCCAATAAACTCCTGTACACTAGGATGGGCGATTGATGTGGCCAGGTATTAAGCATTACTAGGCGATGAAGTACTTGAATGCGGTGAAACACATAGCCTTTCGGAAACGGGATAAAAGATCGGGTAGGTGATCGGTGATCAGTGTATTTAAAATGGAATCTCTTCTCGGTAGAGAATAATTGCAATGGGACAAAACTGCAATTACCAGTCTTCTGGGTGAAAAACAGATTGCAAGAAAACGGAAAATTATTTTGTTGCATGGGTAAATCACACTATTGGCAAAATAAGCCGACTGTAACAAAACCACAAGAATGAGTGCAGTAAAGAAAACAGGAAGAACAATAATCACTAAAGACCAAATGTGTGCATGAACAAATCCTCAAATCACAAAACCGCTCCATGGTTGGAGAAACGTTTTAAAACAAATTGTAACCACATAGCCATGTATTAGTTAAAAGCCTTTTTTCGAATTGTTCGAGACATTAGACCACACGACGCTACATGTTGCACGCATGTACTCGATATTTGTAGACACACATTTTGCTAATGTACCCTGGCGCGGAATTGTCGACTAATCCTTCTGTCTCGTCTTGAGGCAAAACTTGATTATTACCTGAGTGACATGCGTTTAAGATGCAGATAACTCGGTGTCCATTTGTGATATCCATATTGAAAGCAGGCAGACTGTTGCAATGAGAAGACGTCTAGGTTCGATTCTGGCGAACACGGCCTTGCTTTTCAGACATGCCTCGAAATGTTAAGAATAACAGGTTTATTTTTTAGTCACTCAGATTTTTGGGACCAGTCGAAAGGAAGAAAGCTAACTTTATTAGTTAAGCTAGGGTATAAAAATGGCAAGTAGTAGACTACTTAATTACAACATTGATGAATTTATGACCAAATATTCAGTATGTTTAATTCGAAGTATCACAACGGAATGAGAGCCTATGCATTTGGACATTCCGTTCAAAGCCCGGACGGAAAGTGCACTATAAATCACTGTCCAACAAAAAGAAAGCAACAACGGTAAATGCATGCTGATCACTCGCTTCGTCCCGGTTGCGTACAAACAACCTCGTCAGGGCTCTTTTCTAATAAATCATGCGTATATGCAGTACGGATTTTGAGTAGAAGTTAATACACAGCGCTCTTTTGCGAAACGGATATCCTTAGAAAGTTACGCAGTCGCTCTGTTGACCGACAATAGAGAAGCTATCTTTTACTACAGTTGCAAAATAGTATGTCTGTCTATCTTTACATTTCAAAAGATTTAGTGTTCCGAGACAAATTTGGTCATAAACTTAGGTCAGCTTTACCGCACACCTATAACAACGCGTTTATGCGAATCATCCACACCACACGGCGACCTGTGCTCAATTACCGTCTGAATAGTTGGTCAGTCGGTTGGACAACTTATGTTAGTTAACAGTTCAACCTCACCTGCCGTAACCTCCATATAGGCAGGACTGACTGGCGACTGGCTCAAAGATTGGCAGGGCATTCCTCAAAGTGTTTGTTGCAATCAGTGACAGAACATGGAGGAATACAACAAAGGAATAGACAAAGCGCTACCTCCTGTGGTATTAAGCACATGGTGATGAACGGCCATCACTGGATCCATCGAAATTCTTTAAAGTGTTCATGTTTTACAGAAACTCGAATCAATTAGAACAATGTAGCAATACTGATGCATTAAAATGGTCGGTATTGTACGCACAAAACCAACTGAGGCCGTCTATCTGATTTCTCTGATCGTCTGCCTAACTGAAATTACCCATATCTATTCGTTCCACTTGCACATAGTCTCATATATGACGCAGCTTTATTGGATATGGGATTAAGGGGATTTTTGTATATGTTTACATGTGACAATGTTTGCTCTTCTGTCTGCTTTTTATGCCAATGAATTGCGGCACGTTTTTTGCACTTTGTTACCTGTTTGCGATATCTGCTTCTAACATTGCCATTTACCTTGGTTACAGATGCGTGGATTTTTATTGCTGGTATTCCATATTCTCCTTTGAAATTATTTCCGCGCTAGCTTTTTCATTTGCAATCGGTTTTTCGCTTGCTTTTGCTGTTCTATTTCACCAATCATCATATTGCCCTAGCTACAACCTTGAGTGTTTCTGTTTTTAACTGGTACCGCTTGACTCGATTGTAAATCTGCTTTTTGTTCATTTGCGTCTTGGTATATTTTCTCACTACCTGCCAGCACAAGTGGGTTGACTTCAATCAAATTCGAGGAGAAGGGGTTAATTCCCGCTCTTTTTGGTACCATCAGTTGGATTATGGATGAAGTTGCACCTTTCGAATTCCTAACAACTTTCGCCCTGTGAAGATTGACACATGGTCCTTTTGGTTAATTGTCCTGTTTGAACATGATTTATGACTTTCTTATCATTTTGTCAGTGACTTCACTTTCATGAACTACTTATCTGTTTGCAGTTCATGTTGTAATACCATTTCATTCCTGTTCATTTAAAACCGGTCGCCCACGTCTACGTGTATCTGAAATGCCTTAAGCAAACGCCCTAATTTCTTCTCTCATGAAGAAGCGCCGTTACTCAACCTATACTTGTTACTTAAATGCATATATTTTGGATGTATAAATGAATTGTAATCTGTTCTTTTACTATTGGCACACAGTATTGTGCATGCTTCTGTAATTAATATTGCTTCTTTCTTAAAAGTTGCCATAACAATCTTTCACCTTGACGTTTTTCCATATGAAACAATTTGCAAAATGTTTCCAGATCTTGTTAGGCATAAATTCATTTTTACTACCGTTGCCTATACTGAAATCTTCAATATTGCGAATGATTTTTAAGTAACTCCAACTTGGTGACTTATTCCTTGATGGCTATAGCAAATTCTAATTTTAGTGTGACTAATACTTCTTTCAAAATGCATCAAGAAACTATCGAAATCATGCAGTTAAAGTAAAACAATTTCTTGGCAGATAAGCTAAACTTTCAAATCAGTGCAATGCTATCAGCAAAACCGCATGGTTTGTTCAACTACTTGATTTCACCTAGCGCCTGTGGTTTTTTCATTCTGTACGCGGTTTCGGAAATGCTCACAAATAACGATGGTTCTCATAACGGTTATCAGTATTTACGAATTCTGCGAGACTACTGAGCGTTGATCACGTTTTGATCCGACAATTCGCATAAACTGATTACCTTTCCATTATAGCTCAAACAAATAAAGAGTGAGTTGGAGTTAAATTGATCTCTGCTACGAGGGATCTGTCTAATATATGTCATGTAGTAGCGAGGTTGTTTTATTAAATGCAGTAAATATTGACCGCTTCTAGGATATACTTATTCGCAGCGTAATCGTACATAAAATTCTGCTGAGTAATTGCATTTATTCACTAATCTGCGTTTTCACAGGTCCTTTTGACGGCGCAACCGATGGATCACGCTAGCAGGTTTGACACTTTTAGCAGTGAATAAAACCATGACTGTCGGTGAACATGCTTCATTTGGATACTAAATGGCACCATATGGATTACTACGCTATGTAAGACAATCGGCCTACTGCAACCTTTTTCTTCTTGAAACGATAAGAATCTTGTGCACTCAAACGGGACATACTACAGTAACTTATACGCGGAATTACTCAATAACAGAAAACACTCCTACTCCGCTGGTGCTGGGTAACTTAGTTTTAGATTTGGAGCTAAAAGACTGGATGCTACAACAGACACAAATGAATACAACTTTAAAGGTGTCGACTTCTGCTACACCGCTGAGTATTGAGATCATATCTCAAGCGGTAACATTGCTTTCCTCAAATGAATTGCTTGCAGTTCCGGACCCTAGACTGCAACTTGTACCTGCAAACCAATGGGGAAGCAGATATTTTGAGGTGCGATATCGTTCTCCCCTGCTTCAGGAACTAGTACATTTTCAACCCATAGACCGTGATAAACATTGCCGTATTCGAGACTCCGATTCATCCCACAACGAAGGATGCATCTGTGAAATTAGTAGTTGCTTTTCTGATCAACCACCTGCATGTGTATTGCTACTATCGTTAGTTATGTATCCCGTGCACATAAGGACCAACTTTTACACTATAAGGATTAATGTGTTAGACGAAAATGACAACAGTCCATACTTTGATGTACATGCTGATGAATATACATTACGTTTGAGGGAAAACGATGCAACGGAATTTATTCAAACTTTGCCCAGTGCGACGGATCCTGATTTATGTGATAACGGGCGTGTAGATTATACCATACAATGGATCACTCGAAACGCTGAATCCTTTTTCCTTTTCAAGCAATACACTGATATCAACATGTACAATCATACAGTGCCGCAACTAATCATCACCAAACCGCTGGACCGTGAAGTGCAAAACCACTACTATGGATTGCTGATTGCCTCCGACAACGGGCCAAAAGAAAGCAAGCACACAACGACATTGACTTTACATATAGTTGTAGATGATATAAATGATTGCCGTCCGGATTTTATACTAAGAATGAGTAACATAAAGGAAGATGTCACTTGTGCACCCCTCACATCCCATGAGTGGAGACCAATGCTTTCACTGCAAATTGCAGAGGATATTCGAGCTGGGAGTTTGCTAACCCGAATTGTAGCGGTAGATGCAGATGAAGGGGAAAACGCTAAAATAACATACGCATTTAGTGACAGAATTCACCCGCAAACAAGAAGAGTAAGTCGTTGCTATTTAAAATATACATCAAAGGTAACGCCATTTGTAAACTTTTGTAATTTACCCTGCTGGCTTTTGGCTTGATATGGGGATTTTGCTTTTGCAACTCAAACCTAACTCATCCGCAAAAGTGGGTTTTGTGGCACGTTGGTAGAAGTCATTTGTTGAGGGCCTTCGTTAAAATAAAAGATAAATGTGGAAATAAAAGCCTGTGTACTTGCGAGTAGGTTTATTTTTAGATTTGCTTTGCTAAATCGTTATATAACGCAACAACTATCACCTTAACTCTTTGAAGACTTTAGCTAGATCTAAAATTTCTAATTACGCTAGTATGAAACGCAACAATGAAACTAGGTAATATATATCCACTATCGTTAGGTAAATTATAAGTTGACAAAAAACGATCAATACTTTAGCGGGTTTGTAGTTTGCGCCGCCAGAAAATAATGTACGCACAATATACGTGAAAACATCATGTAACACTGCATCCAATTTGACTCAGATCCTAAAGCTCTGTTGTATTCAACACTTAAATTTTGTATTTCAAATCATACATAGGTATACCTGAAATAAAATTACAGATAAAAATCTGGCATTTCACTTTAGATTTCCGTTTCTGCTAACAGTATTCAGTCCATTTTAAAGTGAAGTCATTAACGCAAGCATTTACGAAACTAAGCGAATAACTAGACTTACTTGTGTAGTTTTGATATCATGACATAAAACGGATTAAATCTTATCGAACTTATACTATTGTCAATTAGTTCTATTATTTTGTCTGCTTAAATAGTCTGTTAACAAGTATGATAATAATGGATGCTTATAAATTTTCCGTGTTGAAGCAATTGTACACAAATTTCCATAATGAAAACAGTGGCTGGCTACTTATGTGCGAAAGCAGTGGATTTAAACACATATTTTTCACAGTACATTAATAAGTATATCAGCAACACACTAATTTGTAATGATAATGTAGTCAAGCTTTTAGGATACCTCTTAATACGTTACCGCTTTCCGAGTACGGAACCAAAAGTCAAGTACATATCTCAGTGCTGAATCATGGGCTACAAATATTGTCAACATCAAACCCATTCACCAACCCCATAGTCGAATTTCCCTTTCAAACATAAAATGAGGAACAGTAGCCAGTTAGTGCTCGAGTAAACTGCGTCGCTTCAAGTAGAGTAAAAGTAGTCCTATAACTAGATTGCAATACGCACAAATTAATTAAGGGGTGCGACTACTTCGTCTGATTGCTGCATGTCCGCAACCACATGAGTCGCAGATGTTCCTAGTCCTGCGCGATATTAACTTACCCCGAATACAGTGGCCAGAGGATGAACTTCTCCCCGAATTTTGTAAAGTCGAGAGGAAGCTTACGGAATTGATATTTGAAACCGGGGACACACAGCACATCAACCAACCGACAAGCATAACTGCGCGCGTGAGTCCATCGAGCTTAGACTTGCTTTTGACCAGCTGTAAGCAACGTGTGCACGACATTGAATTCTTGGAGTCTCTGGGAGCGTGTGACCACCCGATAATCATAGCCAGCTTGGAACTGCAGCTGCGGTATTCCTCCTCGCTATAGCCAGACTTCAACTATTGAAAGGCGGACTTTAATGGCCCCACTCATGCAGCGAGACAGATGGACTGGTCTTTACCAGAGGATTCGTCTGTTGAAACCTGTTGGAGGGAGTGAAATCGTTGTGCGCCCGATTTGAACCCTTCAAGTATCGGAAACATTGGCCAGTCCAACCACATTTGTTCACCAAGGAGTACAGCAAACTGGCCAAAGGACGACGCAGACTACGGAACAAATTCGTGTTATTTGGCTCTGCTGAGCCCTAAAAGGCGTACAAGGTACAGCGAAATCTCTGCAACAACGCGAAAACCAAAAACGCGGAAGCTTTGAAGAGCAGCTTGGAACCGCCGCAAAAGCTGATCACAAGAGAATTTTCGCCTACGTGAAGCGGCGCCTGAGGAATGCAGGCAATTTTTCTAATGTTAGAAGGCTCCGACGAACAGCCTCTTACCTAGAGCACAGAAAGTACGTCCGCATTGGCGCCACACTTTGCCTCTGTATTTGCAAGTGACAAGCTGTCTGTAAAGAGTTCAACGAGTACCGCTCCCGCTGAACAAGACAGCCTAGATTGCAGCACTGAAAAGGTAAGCAAGCTTTCAAAATGACTTGACAGGAAGAAACCTTTCGCGCCAGATGGTATCCAGCCACTAATTCTCAAGTCCATATCAGTCATCATCTCACCTTCTGTAACCGAGCTGTTCGACAGGTCACTATCCACTGGAATAATACCGGGCAACGGGAAATGCTTAGTCGTAAAGCCAATACAGAAATGTGGTAACCCAAGCAAAGTGAGTAACTACCGGCCAAACCGCCTGACCACTGTTTTGGCCAAGACGTTCGAGAGGATCGTGGAGAAGATCGTTCTGCAGCGTCTCGAGTTTGCTTGCCTCCTGACACAGGTACAACATGTTTTCGAGAAAAGTCGATTGGGCATCACCAACCTATTGTTGACGAGGCAAGATTCGTTATAAGAGTTGAAGCAGGGAAAATCGGTCGAGGTCAGTTACATTGAATTTAGTAAGGCTCTTGAAAAGGTAAATCATGCAGTGCTCATTGACCGGCTGAAGTTGTGCGGTGTTGGAGTTTCGCTGCAACATTGGATCAGGAATTCCATGATTGATCGAAAATGGCTGGTCCAGGTGGACAACCATTGAATCAACTGGTATGCATTGAGCAGTGGCTTGCTCCAAGGCATTCTACTGGGGCCGATTTCTTTATATTCCATTTCAATGATGTGCCTTAGCTAATCCAATCATCTTGTGCTTTGTTTGCAAATGACTTGCAAGGGTGGAGAGTAATCCGCAGACTCAATGATTGTGATCTGCTTCAGCATCACCTCGACCGCCTCTCCACTTGGTCTGCACAGGTCATCCTTCCTAACAGCCCTGTCAAGTCGCAATTCATGAAGCTGGGTAAGTGTGAGCACAGTCGAAGCTACACGGTGGCTGGCCAACCGTTGCGTCCCGCGCCTCTCGTGCGCGATCTCGGTGTACTCACACGCTACGACCTAAAGTCCATGGAAAACACGAATAAACTTTACCAAAACGGCCTTCGTATGCTTTGGGCGCTCAGGAGCATTTTCAGCACTGGGTCCGAAATGATTGCCACATGCCTCTTCTTTTCCATAATATGACCAATGCTAGAGTTTGGCTCTCCAGCCTATTGTCCTATCACCCGGGGCGAGGTAGAAAGATGGAGCGAGTGCAACATGTAGCCACCAGGCTGACTCCCAACGTACGAGGTGTGCTCTAGTAAGACCGGTGTAATAAACTATGGCTTTACACCCTAGCGTATCGTCAAATGCGGGAAGACCTCATCATGAAGCACCGGATATTACATCTGGAAGATTACCCCATGCTGAGGCCGCTGCTTCATATGCGCACACCAAGCAGCAAACGAGGACACCAGTACAAGCTTGTCGTACCGGATTTGAAAAAGAAAGAACTTCACAAGCGATTCGGAGAGTATTGAATAAAGGGAAGAAAAGGGTGGTTTTTCATAAGGGGCAAACGCTACGGTCCACACTTGTGCACCTGAAGGATACACTCCCTTTAGATAGAACAACTAACTGTATTTACAAAATTCCATGTAAAGATTGTACACAAGTGTATATAGGCCAAACAGCGAGGGAATTACGAACAAGGATTTTTGAACATAGGCGACACATATCACGACCTCCGCGAAGTGAGCTAGAGTATGAAGCTCTACTCAGAGATTCAGCAATAGCAATGCATGCGCTAGACACGGGGCATAAAATTGACTTCGAAAATGTGGAGGTAATCAGGAAGTGATTACGATCAGCCAAACAAAGGCTGATTGCTGAGGCTATAGGGGGGTCGCCAGCCAACTCTGTTTCGAACGCAGATTGGTGAATGCATGGAACGACCTGCCGCAACACGTATTTGAGGGAAAGTTGGTGTAAGAATTTAAGAAATTCCAAACCACTTTGCCGACGCAAAATATCTTAGGCGCAACACAACGTAAATAATCTTTTTCCCTGAGTGACATTAGATGCAGCTACACAGAGCGCACTCTAGTTGTTGCCTTCAACCATTAACCAATAATCTGTTATTCGGTAACCAATTCATTTACATAGAAAAATATATTTTGTTTTCAATCCTCCTAAATGGGTCACAGAATTTTGTATCCTTGAATCTTGTGCACTCAACGTCTCGTGATTGGACGTGTGTTAACAAAACACTCCGATTTCAAAAAAGCATCTCTGCCATTGTAGCCGGAAGCGGTTATCTTTCAAATGCCTATATTCTCTCTTTATTTATGCATGAAAGGCGTTAATAATTGACGTGATTGTGTTTGCAAATGCGCAATTCCAAACATAAAGTTATTCCAAGGAAATATCAGCAAATACTCAAAGATCGTAAAAGTGATCTAACCTACGTTTTGCGTGAAAGTAGAATGACTTCCTTTCTCACATATCTTAAAGTATTCGACAAGGCTTTGCGAAAAATTAGTCTAAATTAAATAAACGTTTTATTCCTCAGCAGTGCGAGGCAAAGACCAATTGGGTGGTCTTATCAACATGTACAACGTGATCGCATAATATAGTTAATTTTTCGTCTTTTGATCAAAGGTTCCCGTAAGGGTTTTGAAATGATTAGAAGTCAATAGGCCAGTCATAATTTGATGGAAAGTTTTGGCGAGTGACGACGATGGTACAGAGACATCAGCTTGGAAGGCGGAGTGCATCAACGAACCAGTGCGTCAAAGGAGAAAACAGAATTGATTAAACGGATTAAAAGGAGTAAGATCGTTCTCAAATATATACTCAAGAATGCAATTATATGTAGGTAATCTTATATTACTGAAACGAATAGAGGATATGGTTACTTTCATACGTATCCAGGACCTTTCTCATACAAGTCATCTAGAGTCACCGTTTGGCTTAGTGTTGACC